GGGGCGGGGTTGCTCGGGTCGGGGGGGGTGGGGCGGGGTTGTGGGGTCGGGTGGGGATGTCGGGGTGGGGAGTGGGCGGGCGCCGGAGTGGGAGTGGTGGTGTGACTGCTCCTGTGGTGCGGGCGACGGCTTCTGAGGAAGCCGTCGCCCGCGCCTCGCCTGTCGCGTGAATCGGTATGCCGCCGCCCGCGCAAATTTTTTTCCCTCCTTCGCGCTTTGCGGCCGCGCTCTTTCCACTCAACCCGACCCCACGATGTCGACGAGCAGCCTCTACGAGCTCCTCGGCGTCCAGGCCGACGCCGACGCCGCCGCCATCAAGCGGGCGCGCATCGCCGCGGCCCGCTCCAACTCCCCTAATCTGACTCGCCGCGCTGATTGCGCCGCCGACTCCCGCCAACCGCAGGCGTACCTCAAGGCCGCGCGCGACACGCACCCCGACAAGAATGGCGGGGACGAGGCGGCGACCGAGCGCTTCCAGCAGGTCGGCCGCGCGTACGCCGTCCTCTCCGACGCCGAGAAGCGCAAGCTGTATGACGAGACGGGGATGGTCGACGACGGTGCGCCAGCCGCCGCCACTCCCACGCCACTCTCTGCCGTCCAGCAACCGCTCGCCGCCACCACTGCCATCGCCCGCCACACCGCCGCAACCACGACGCGCATCGCTTCCGCCACCGCGCCACCGCCGCCGCCGCCTCCGCCTCACCACCGCCGCCACCCTCCTCCGCCTTCCCGGTGGCCGCAGGCAGCGGCGGCGGCGGCGACGCCTCTTACTGGCGCGAGGCGTTCGAGCGGGTGAGCCTCGAGAAGCTGGACGCGCTGGCGGCGAGCTACCGCCACACCGAGGAGGAGGCCGCCGACCTCCGCGCCCACTACATCGCCGCCAAGGGAGACATGGGCAAGGTGATCACACGCCCACTAGACACGTCTGAGACGCGTCCACGACACGTCGCGTCTCAATGACGCCGTCTCACTGGCGCATCCCCACCGACACGTCCTCGACACGTCCTCGACACGTCCTTGACACGGCATTGACGCGCGCTCCCAGTGGCACGTCTCCAGCGACACGTCCATGACACGTCCGTGACACGTCCGCGACACGTCCTCGACGCGTCCGCGACGCGTCCTCGCAAGGTGATGGACGCGATGATGTTCTCGACCGCCGACGACGAGCCGCGCTTTCGCGAGACACTGCGCGGGCCGGCCGAGGCGGGCGAGGGGCCGGCCTCGGGACACGTCCGGGACACGTCTACCACGCGTCCTCAGGCGGGGGCTGGTCGATGCGGGCGAGCTGCGGATGTACCGCCAGTTTGAGGGCGAGAAGGACAGCAAGCGGCTCCAGCGCGAGCGGCGCGCGGCGAAGGAGGCGGCGGAGGCCGAGGCGAGATCTAGCCGGGATCGAGCCGGGATCGATCCGAGATCGAGCCGAGATCGAGCCGAGATCGAGCGAGATCGAGCGAGATCGAGCCGAGATCGAGCGAGATCGAGCCGAGATTTGCGCGCCACCAAGGAGGCTGCTTCGGCCTCGGCGGCAGAGCTCTGCCTCTCGCTTCGTGAAACTTCCCTGAACCTTCCCCGAGCCTTCCCCGAGCCTTCCCCGAGCCTTCCCCGAGCCTTCCCCGAGCCTCCGCTCCCCCCCCCTTCCCCCAGGCGGCGGCGGCAGAGCTCGGCCTGAGCGGCGGCGGCGACGACGCGCTCAAGAGTGCGCTGATGGCGCGTGGCGCGGCGAGGCAGAGCGAGTTTGGCTCGATGCTGCAGTCGCTGGAGGAGCGGTATGGCGGCGCGGGAGGCGGCAAGGCGGGCAAGGCGGGCGGGCGTAGATGCGATACACGCGTTGCAGCCGGCACGTCCTTGCGCCCTGTGGAGGGCCGTCCTCATTCCACGCCACGGGACAACAGAGCGGTAGACCACGGACGCGGGGGATGCGGCTGCGGCCACGGGAGCGCCACCGGAAGCTCGATTCGGAAGCGCCGCGGCGGTGCGTTCGCTCTGCCCTCAGCAGCACACACTGTCAGCGGCACTCTCCCCTCGGCAGCACGCACTGCCTTCTGGCGGTGCGGTGGCCCCGGGTCTGCAGCGTCGAACGCGCCGCCCCGACGCCGCTGCAGGCCGCGGCGCGGTGCGCCCTCACCGCCCCCTCTCTGTCTCCGACAGGCGCCAAAGGGCGGCAAGAGCGGCAAACAGCGGGGTGGCTCCGCCTTGCCCGATGACCCGCTGAGCGACGAAGCCTTCGCCGCGGCGCAGCAGCGAGTGCAAAAGCGCGGCAGGGCGGGACGCTAGTCGCTCTGGGTGAATGCCGCGCCACGGCGCACAGCAGACTGGCCGGGCCGTGGCGGGTTGACTTGTACCTGTGTTGAGCGTCGAGGCGCGTTCGTATGGCCGCTCACCCCTTATACCGTCGGCCACCGCGCGCCGCACGGCACCGGCCCACCGCGCGCGCCCCCGCACCGTGAGACCGTCCCCCGTCCGCCCGCGCACAGAGGTCCAGAGCCGCACACACGAAATAAGATGCGTTATGCACCGTGATGGCATATCTTTGAACGTAATACCCCGCGACGACAAAACCTAGTAAACCCTACATGTAAGCTGTTTTCCAGTCATGGCCGGCCCCTAGGGCGAGCGAGATGGAGAAAAGGAGTGTGATGAAAGAGCGAGATCATCCCCCCGAGAGAACAGAGATGTGAGCCGGGGAGCGCCCGGCGTCTAGGCAAGGAGTGTCGCCTACGAGATCTGGCCGCAGTCGGCGATCACCACCGGCTTGGCCGTCTTGCCCGACTGCGAGCCGACCGCCTCGATCGCCTTGACCACCTCCATGCCCTTGGTGACGGAGCCAAAGACGACGTGCTTGCCGTCGAGCCAGTCCGTCTTGACGGTGCAGAGGAAGAACTGGGAGCCGTTGGTGCCCGGGCCGGCGTTGGCCATCGAGAGGATGCCCGGGCCGGTGTGCTTGAGCTGGAAGTTCTCGTCGGCAAACTTGGCGCCGTAGATGGACTTGCCGCCGGTGCCGTTGCCCGCCGTGAAGTCGCCGCCCTGGCACATGAAGTTGGTGATGACGCGGTGGAAGGCAGAGCCCTTGTAGCCAAAGCCCTTCTCGCCCGTGCACAGCGCGCGGAAGTTCTCCGCCGTCTGCGGGGCGGCGGCGAAGGGAGCGGTGGTGGTGAGTGGCGGCGGCGGGCAGGAGGCGCGAGAGCAGCGGTGCGGCGGCGGCGAGGGCGCCAGCGAGTGCGGCGGTGATGGCAGCGGCGGTCACGGCCACGGAGAGGCGGCGAGGGCGGCGGCGGGTGAGGCCCCTCGCACCTTTGGGACGACGTCGTCGCGGAGCGTCATCTCGATGCGGCCGGCCGGCGCGCCACCGATGGTCATATCCTGCGGTGAGCGCGATCGAGGGTGAGCTTCTCGCGTGCGGGGGCGGAGGCAGCAGAAGCGGGCGCACGAAGAAGACGACTGCCGGCATGGGGAAAGGGGCAACAAGGGGCCGGCTCGAGACGTGCGAGCGTCACAAGAAAAACACCGCAACCCTGCGACCGCGCACCCCCCCACGGTCGAGGAAGAGGGTGCGTTCTGCAGTTAAGGGGTAACCCGGTACACGGAACCATCCCTCGGAGACGTGTTATGGCCCTGCGACCGCGCACCCCCGGGGCTAGGGCTCTCTTGCCCGAGGGCTAGAGCGCGCCGGCGGGCGCGCTCTAGCCGGTAACCCGATCCTCAGCTCCCCGGCCAACTGGGTGCGCTCCTCAGCTCCCCGGTCCTGGATGTGAGGCTAATGACCGCACTCCAAGTGCTCCAAGTGCTGGTGCTGAGTTGTTCCTGCTGTTGAGGGCCCCGGCCGCGGCGCGGTGCGGCGGCGTCACAAATCCGACCACAGAGCACCGGGACGAGGTACAGGACAACAACAACAAGGTATTGCTAAAATCTCTCTCTCTCAACAGGCGCCTGCGGCGCCGTGGTCAGGAGCTGCTGTTCACGCGGGTCCACACTTTCATAGTGGACAGTAACCGTCGCCAGACGCCACTCGCTCTAGCGTCTAGGTGAAACGTCTGAAGAAGGAAGGCCCAAATTCGCACGAACGTGGAACGACGGGTATGTAGACCGGCGTTTGGAGAACACGGGCACTGACTAGACCCGCCAGCCAGGAAGGAAGGACTGGGAGTGTGAATGAAAGGAGGGACACGCGCGAGAGAGGAGATTCTCTTGACACGCGTGGTTGGTTCGGACCTGGTTCGGACGCGTCTTGGGCTCAACCAGGTTTGCCTCTCGCACCCCGTCTGTTTTCCTTTCCTTTTTTCTCTACAGCACCCTTTCTTTTCCTCTCAGCTCTCTATTTTCCCGGGAAAACTGCGTGGAAATCGTCAAACTTTTGGCTCTGAGCCGAGTCTGAGCACTGAGGCTGGTTTGGGCCCAAAATCTCTGGGCCGGCGCGGGGCCCCCCGGAGGCACCGTGCGCCGCGCCGCAGTGCGGAAACGGGGCCCGGCTCTATTAGTCTCTATTAGCACCGACTTCCCGATTAAGCTAGGTTAATCAGAGGGCAGATTTGGAGAGATCTCGAGGAGTACATACAGATAGACCCTCCAACCATTAGAAAACTCCGACCTGATCGGTCGTACTGACCGCCGACAGATCACTCCAGACAGCAGACAGGCCGACGTCTGCACGCGGCCGGCCGGGCGAGAGGCTTGACACGATCCGACCCTGCGACCCTGACGCTGCTGCTCTAGCTATCAGCCATGGACTGCTGACTGCTGCCACAATGTGCGACCTGTGCTGGCCCACTTGGCGGCCTTCCCGGTCAGTGGTGAGGCGCAGTTCAGAGCTGTCGATGGCGCGATGCCGCACTGGTCCCACATTGGTGACACGATACCACCAAGTTTGCCGGTCCAAGAGAGAGGCACCGGCGCTGTCCTGAGAAGGTGCGTGGTCCCTCTTGACTGCCCATGCGCGCGAGGCTGTGTAGGCATAGCCTCGAGAGTGCCAGCAGCCAATCCGAGGCAGTTTGTGACGCGCATTGCGTCAGCAGCGTGGACGCGCTGGAAGGACACCTTCCTACTGGCCGTACGATCAGGTCGTCACTGAATGCTTGATACTAAGGCCGCGAGCTATGCAGGTGATCAATTGTGCATCATGGCACGGTCAGCTGCGCCGACAGGCTGTCGCAAGGCGTGATAGCATGGCCGCAAGTTCGGCGAATTCCTTTGAAACAAGTAAAAATTCGCGCAAAAAAGAAAAAAACTCCCAAAAAATCGGCGCCTGCGGCGGGCCATGGGACCCCATCTCCCCCCCGCATGGACACCCTCTGGGGCCCCCGCCGGCCCAGAGCCCAAAATCAGCCAAATTTTAGGCCAAATCGGCAAAATGCCGGGAATTTCGCGGAGAACCCGTGTATACCTGGAAATTACCCTGCGACCGCCTGGGTATTTTGTCGATTTCCTCAATTTTGCCTCAGATTTTGCCCCACCCAGACCAGCTCTCAGACTCAGGGAAACTCGCGAGTTTCCAGAACACCAAACACCCTCTGTTTTCCCTGGAAATTTCCGGAAACGCAAAGTGCTGGGGACCCTCTGTTTTCCTTTTTGTTTTCCGGAAAACCTGGTTGAGCCCAAGAGCCAAGACGCGTCCAACACAACGTACCCGGGTGGGGTACGGGCTTCTGCGGCATGACCTACCGAGGGGAGGAAGCGACACAGCTCGGCCACACACACAACAACAACAACAACTCTCGCTCAATTAACACACAACAGTGGGTCCCCGCCCCCACCCCATCCCGTGGCTGGCACCTCGGCCACTGCCCCCACAGCGCGCTCGCGGCTCGACATCCTTCCTTCGTCATCATGTCGAACCCCGTCGTCTTTTTCGTGCGCCCTCGCACCCCACACAGCCAGCACGCCGTCCCTCCGCACGGCCTGCGGACGATGCAACCCGCCTGCAGCAGCCGCCAGCTCCCCTCCGCGAGCCTCGCCTCGCGACACACAAATGTCGCCGTGTGGTGTCCGCATCGGCACTCTGCCCGCCCTCGCAGGATATGACCATCGGTGGCGCGCCGGCCGGCCGCATCGAGATGACGCTCCGCGCCGACGTCGTCCCAAAGGTGCGAGGGGCCTCACCTCCACCCACCGCCGTTCTCTCCGCCTCCCTCACCGCCTCTCACCCCCGCTGCCCTCGCCGCTCCCTTCGCCGCCGCCCCGCAGACGGCGGAGAACTTCCGCGCGCTCTGCACGGGCGAGAAGGGCCAGGGGAAGAGCGGCAAGCCGCTCCACTTCAAGGGCTCCTCCTTCCACCGCGTCATCACCAACTTCATGTGCCAGGGCGGCGACTTCACGGCGGGCAACGGCACCGGCGGCGAGTCCATCTACGGCGCCAAGTTTGCCGACGAGAACTTCCAGCTCAAGCACACCGGCCCGGGCATCCTCTCGATGGCCAACGCCGGCCCGGGCACCAACGGCTCCCAGTTCTTCCTCTGCACCGTCAAGACGGACTGGCTCGACGGCAAGCACGTCGTCTTTGGCTCCGTCACCAAGGGCATGGAGGTGGTCAAGGCGATCGAGGCGGTCGGCTCGCAGTCGGGCCAGACGGCCAAGAAGGTGGTGATCGCCGACTGCGGCCAGATCTCGTAGACGCGCTTCGGCCCCGCAGCGGGAAGGAGAGGTTTGAGTCGGAGCGCAGAGGGGCGCGGGCGGCCTTTTCTAGGCGCGCCCTCGGGCTGGGGGCGCAGGGCCAAGGTACTTTGCCCACTTATATCTTATTCTCTTCAATTTTCTTTGCTCTTCCTAAACTTTACAACTAAACAACCGTCGCTAAACCGCGCGAACGAAATTAATAAAACTGACACCTCTCTATGGACTATGCTCTGTCGTGTCCCTTGTCAGGAGCAGGAGAGCCCCACCTGTCCCCCTGATCGTTCTTCCAAAATCCTGCTCGTGCAGGTGGGGACCCTGTCCTCGTCCCATCCCTCGTTTGGCGTGTCTGTTTTCTTTCTTTCTTTCTTTTATTAAAGGAGAAAGTATCGGTCGCGTCCCCGCCCCAGCGGCGCAAAGAGGCAGCTAGGTCGGCAGGTAGGTAGGGACGAAGGTGAAGAACAGTCAGGCTCGGACCACTGTGGACACCAACGCGGTATGGGTGTGGACGCGAGACAGATGATGACGACACGCGTGAGCGACACAGACACACACAAGCTCACAAGACACGCATGCTTGAAGAAAGAAGAGAGGAGCTGCGCCGGTGATCGTTTGTTTCAGTCTTTTGCATGCTCGGCACCTGGCTCGCGGCGTCGGCCTTTGCGCTGCAGCCTGCCGTCTAGACACGTCCGGCGTCTCTGCGGACACGACACCGGTGCCAGCTCATCGCGCAAGACAACAACTGGTACCCTGCCGTCGACGAGGCGAGCAGATGATCCTGTCCTCTCCCGTTTTCTGACACCAGGAATGATTTTTTGTCTCGCCTACCGGACAGGCGAGCGGCGAAACGTACTACTATAACGCCGACACCGGCGAGGCGCAGTGGCAGGTTCCTCCTTCTGCGTACAGTAGTTCGCTCGTCTGGCGCGTGCTGCCCCACGCCGGTATCCGCTACGAGTACGCGGGATGCACGCTCGCGATGCCGCTCTGTGCTGGGGAGGAGCAGACGCTGGGCGCGCACATAGCCACCTCAGAGACACACAACCTCCATGCGTTTGCGGGACACATTTCCGAGGACACCTCTCGGAGACATTTTGAGGCGCGCGCCCGAGACTCTTTGACACCCCTCTGAGATATGGCGATGCCTGTGCATCGACCCCGTGACGCGTCCACGCAGGGCGGTTCGACATGGCCGACCCGTCGCCGTACGTGTCGCGGCTGCAGTGCGTCGTCCACGTGGAGGGCGGCGCCGCGACGCTCCTCTCCATCGGCAAGTGCGCCGCCCCTAGATGCGAAGGTAGTCTCCCCCCATCCCCAGGGCGTCCAGGGCTCGCACCTCAACCTCTCACAGACCAGCGCACAGCGCCATGCGATGGACCGTCTTCTCGATAACAAGGCTGCGAAGCACGTGCCGTTCCCCCACTCCTCTGCCGCTACGCGTGTTGTGTGTGGAGACGCTCACCTTACCTTGCCTCCCACCTCGCAGGCCTCCGACCCTGTGGCGCGCCCACGAGTCCGCTCCGTGGATGGTGCTGCGGAAGGCGAGGCCGCTCGGCGACGACATCGGGTGCCGAGATTCGCCGAGATCTCGCCGAGATCCGGCTGTGGGGCGGCGGAGACGTGGCGGAGACGTGGCGGAGGTGTGGCGCGTGTGGCGGAGAGATCGTCGAGAGTGAGCGAAGCGTCGAGAAGTAGTCGAGGCCGTTCCGTAGCCGGTCAAGGGCACCTGTGCTCCTCTAGTCCCATCGCCTTCCACGTGACCCGCTCTCCACAGGTTCGACGGCACGCACGCGCTGCAGCATGGCGAGCAGATCAGCTTGGACATCCGCGAGCCAGAGGCGGCCGTGTTCACGGTCACATGCGAGGAGGCGGGCGCCGGCGCGTCCGTGCCGCAGGAGGACGGCTACATGCATGGGTACGGCGGTCCGCAGCAGCAGCAGCAGCAGCAGCAGCAGCAGCAGCAGCAGCAGCAGCAGCAGCAGCAGCAGCAGCAGCATTGGCCACATCAAGGCGCAGGTGGTGAGTACTATTATTGACCTCCGCCAGTCCGCGCCCTTGTCGTGTCCGAAGATAAAAATAAAGGACCTGCCTGGTTCGTAAAATTGTTCCTGAATTCTTTTTCTCTGGTGCACCTGTGTTAGTGCCAGTGCGCGCCAGTCCCGTGAGAAAAAAAGGCCTAACGTTGCAGGAAATTCTTTTTCTACGGGGTGAATCTTTTCTCGCGATGTCCACCCCACCGCGCCGGCGCCGCTCGCGCCGCCTCGCCTCCTCCGCCACCGTCGCTCCCTCGCCGAGCACGCCGCCGCCCGCCCACCTCCTCGACCTCCCCACGGACCTCCTCGGGCGCGTCGTCTCTCGCTGCGACCCCGTCGACATCGCTCGCGTCGCGGCCGTCTCCCTCCTCTTCCACGCCTCGCTTGCGGTGGAGGGCATCCGCTTGCGGGCGCAAGAGCGCGGCTACGAGCTGCCGGCGCAACCAGAGAGCGAGGGCTGCGCCGTGCGGTGGCTGTGCTTCGCTGCGTTGCTGTGCGAGTCCAACCCGCCGGCGAGGGCGGCGGCAGGTTCCTCCCACAGCCTCTTCATCGACGGTGAGGGGCGGCTCTCGTCGTGCGGCTCCCCGCCGTCCTACTCTGCAGCCCTGCTCGGCCACGGCGAGGGCGTGACGCGGCTTAACACGCCGACCCGCCTCCCGTCGACGCTGGGTGGCGAGCGCGTTGTGAGCGTGTCGGCTGGAAAGTTCCACAGCCTCGCCCTCACCGCCGGCGGCTCTGTCTGGAGCTGGGGCAATGGAGACTTGGGACGGTTGGGCCACGGCGACGAGCTGGAGCAGCTGCAGCCGACGAAGATCGAGGGCTTGGCTGGCCAGCGCATCGTCGCCGTGTCGCCTGGAAGCAGCCACAGCCTCGCCATCACTGCCGACGGAGCCGTCTGGAGCTGGGGCTGGGCAGCCTTTGGCCGGTTGGGCCACGGCGACCAGCAGAACCAGCTGCTGCCCAAGAAGGTCGAGGCGTTGGTTGGGCGGCGCGTCTTCGCTGTGTCGGCTGGATTTGATTACAGCCTCGCCCTCGCCGCCGACGGCGACGTCTGGAGCTGGGGCGAGGGAGGCTGGGGCAAGCTTGGCCACGGCGACGAGCAGATGCAGCTGCTGCCCAAGAAGATCGAGGCCTTGGCTGGGCGGCAGGTCGTCGCTGTGTCGGCTGGAGCCGGGCATAGCCTCGCCCTCACTGCCGACGGCGCAGTCTGGAGCTGGGGCCTTGGAGGTGATGGCCGGTTGGGCCACGGAGACGCGCAGAACCGGCTGCTGCCCAAGAAGGTCGAGGCCTTGACAGACCGGCGCGTCGTCGCTGTGTCGGCTGGGCCGGACCACAGCCTCGCCCTCACCGCCGACGGCGCCGTCCGGAGCTGGGGCTTTGGAGCCTTTGGCCTGTTGGGCCACGGCGATCAGCAGGACCAGCTACTGCCGAAGAAGATCGATGCCTTGGCTGCCCAGCGCACCGTCGCTGTGTTCGCTGCGAGCAGCCACAGCATCGCTATCACCACTGACGGCGCCGTCTTCACGTGGGGCAAGGGCGAAAGCGGCTGTCTAGGCCACGGAGAGGACCTGTCAATCCAGCTGCTGCCCAAGAAGATCGAGGGGTGGCCGCCGGGGCAGTGATGAGATCCCTCGCGACAATGTCTCCGAGAGGGTCGATCGCAATGCCTTTTGGAGTATGGAACTGGGCTGCAGTTCCACGGCCATTATGGCATCCCGCAACGCTGCTGCCAGCGAGCGTGCTCACGTCGCAGGACATGTGTGCGGGCTCAGCCGCGGAGCCGCGGGCCGTGCCACAAACACCAGCTTCAGAACACACTCGGTTCCTTCCCCGTCTGGCCCGTCCCCTCATTCCCACTTCGCAAAATTCTTCTTCTTTTGATGTACCTGTGTTAGTGCCAGTGCGCGCCAGTCCCGTGCCCAGTTCGGCTCAGGAGTTCATTGAACTCGTAAAATTCTTTTTCAAAATTTCGGGTTTTTCTGCGAGATTAAGCCGGTCGTGCGGCTCCGTCGCCTCAATACCCGGTGTCGGGCGAGGGAGTTCGCTCGTAAAATTCGTTCGACCCCACATAAAATCCGAGACGGTGACGGGAAGCGTCGAGTGATCTCAGGCCCAGTGTGAGGCTGCAGTGCACAGGCTAACCCGGATCCTGCTGAACAAGCTCCTCTTGTAGCTCGATCGGTCACACCGCCGTCAGGCGTCACCGTCGGGGAGAGGGGGGACGATACTGCTTCGGCAGCGTGCACCTCGATCCTGTACCGTGTTTGTTATGACCCCCCCCAATGAGCACACCAGCGAGGGAGGGCGAGACGATCGAGGGGTGGTCCCGTACCATGCGGAATCGACCCTATTCGGTACTCACATAACTCACATGCTGAAATTCTTTCGTGCTGCGCGAGATAAGCCGGTCGTTGCGTGCCTCATGTCAAGGATGGCCAGAGGGGTAGGTAGGTAGGTAGAAAGGTGAAGAACAGCCAGGCTCGGACTGGACACCAACGCGGTATGGGTGGACGCTGGACAGATGATGACGGCACGCACGAGCGACACACAGACACAAACAAGCTCACAAGACACACAGCCAGCGGGCTGCCACACACCCTGAGTCGGCTTACACATAACTCAAGGCCATATCCTCCCTGTCGCCCCCCCAGCACTCCACGGTGCCAAGAGTACAAACAAGGGCACAACGACACAACAGACGACAGGAAGTGACATGCGAGGCTAGAGCAGGCTTGCTCTACCTCCAGCAATCTCTCCGGCCGGCGAGGCACGGACGAGACCGTGTGTGGGGTCTAGTGAGGTGTCTATGGACGCCCTCCTCAGAGGCTAGCTGCCTGCGGCTAGCCCTAATCTCGCACTCACAGGCGATGACAACCCAATGTATGAGTGTATGCCAGCAGAGGCGCGTGTGCTAATTCTAGGCCGCACGTCGTGGCACTATGACGGAGGTAGACGTGCGACCGCAGCGCGCCCACCACAGTCTCGGTGGTGCGCGCGTGTTAGCGATAGAGTTGCGGGGAGAGCCATGCCCGACTTTTCGAAGGCGAGCCCCACGCCACGGATGCCAGCCGTGCCTTCGCGGGAGTCGTCTCACGAGCCGCGTCCCGTCGGCACTGACCCCGAGTAGCCCCGCCTTGGCGGCACACACTCTCGACCAGGACAGTCCGGCCTCCGGGAACGTGTCGCGCGCCGGCGACGATTGCGGCGTGGTCGTTTTGAAGCGAAGATGGCACGACCACCGCCCTGCTTCGCAGACCGGGCAAGGAGGGGGCTGCTCCCGTTCCGCGAGGAACAGGAGGTCTCCCCCCCTCCCCCGGCCTGAGCAGCGACGTGTGGAAGGCAGCCCCTTGAGTCGAGGGCGGCGCTACCATTGCGCCGACTCAAAGACCAGCTAGCTGGACCGTTCAGTACAGATGGTCGCGCCGCCCCGCTCCGCGCCGCCCGCCGATGCGCCGCGCCGCCGACTCGCGCAGCCGGCGCGCCGCGCCCCGCCCGATGATTAATAATTACCCGGAATACGGTACTCAATGAGTGAATTAATCAATTAAGTGAGCGCCCTCGCATCACCCATGACTCGACCAGTGTGAAGGTGAAGAGATGTCACCGAGCGTGCGTG